CAAATCTGCCAATGCATTTTGAAAGGGCAGGGTAATTTTTTAAGACCATAGCAAAACTGTACAGGTTCTCATGCTAAGAAAAGAATAATACAGAGTCATGTCACAGGATGATAAACAGATGTCTGCACAGCCCAGCAAGGGATGCCCCCCCCCCCAGATGACTCTGAAGAATAGTTAACAAGCACCATGGGCTGCTTGATCATTTTTCACTTTTCTGATCCACCAACAAATGGTTCCTGACAGTCAGAACAGTTCTGAGTGGATGAAAGATCTTATTTAGCATAGCACATCCTGCCTTTTTAAGAGGTAGAATGGAGGATGAAAGCAACTGTGCTGCCTCCATCTGAGATCCTTGTTTTTCTGCCATGGGGCTGAGTGTTTCTTTTTCCAAATTTGCAGCCAGCCTGTACCAGGTTACTTCGGTGCTGATGAAACTCTGGACTTCATGCTGCAAGCACAGACTGGAGATGGGAACAAAAAGGTAAAACAAGTGAAGGCAAAGAGGGCAGTGGCAGCATAGGGGTGAGGGAGGTTGGGTAGAAAGGGACAATATTTCCCTGCTCCTCACTCTTCCCATTTCTGTGGCTGACACTCATCACTCTGTGGCCACAGGCATGAAAGGGAACAGCACAGGCCATGCTGCTGCAAGGGGGCTCTCTGTACACCCACACCTGGACACCTGTTAATGCTAGATCTCTCCCCTGCCTTGAGGTGGTGGTGATAGACGGCAAATCCGGCCTCCCTGTTTGGAACCAGGAACTCCCGTGGCAGAAGCAACAACTTGATGCGCTGTCAGTCATGACTTTGGACAAGAAGTCTGTTTTTCTCTTCTGGGCTGATGAAGCACAGCCTGTGTTGCAAAGTTTGGTGAGCAAGCATCCTTTCTTCACTTTGAGGTTTCTCTGTGAGGCACATGCAGTCTCTGTCTTTTATTGCCAATGTAATTGAACTTTAAACCTGCCATATAAGAAGGCTGTCAGGGACATCTTTTGCTCTAGCTTTGACACTCTGACTTCTCTGAGCCTGAACAGAGGAGTTTTTATGTGCAAATTCTTCACCAGAAAGGTTTATTGACAGAAAGTCCGCATACACAAAACCAAAACTTTCTGCGTGAATTTCATTTTTTTCTGCAAGACTGAGATATTTTTGCTGCAGATTTGTTCCCAGCCCCAGAGCGCTGCTTCTCTGCACACAGGCACACAAGTCAGCATGGAGACTCAAACTTCCAGACTGTAGCTTTGCCCATCAAGCTGACTTTGACAGAGCCAGATCTCAACCTTACCAAACAGAAGTTGTGGAGCAAATTCTGTTTTAGAAAAAAAACTTTGCAGGATTTCATCTCTGTAAAACCATAGAGTTCTTGATTCTCTGATCCATGTAAAGACAGCGCAGTGTCAGAAAACTTTATTTCTTTGGCAAAGCTAGTCTCCTCTTTGCTAGCCAGCTGTAACATTTTTGTCTGTCCTTTGTTCCAACAGCAACCTGGTCCCAGACCTGAGCGCCCAGGGCTGCACCACCTCTATCTCCTCCATCCTGTTTTTCCTACCGTCCTTTTGGACCTCACCAATGCAACAGACAAAGTCATTGCTTCAGCAGGTGAGATGAGGAGGAGAAACTACCTAGGCTAAAAGAAATAACGGGAGAGAGAGGTAGCTGTGAGAAACAATGGGGGGTAGTTGTGCTGTTAAAGGTAGCACCTGAGGTCCACCACACATAGGCCAACAATGGGAAATAAGATCCATCTTCCTCCTGAAGAAAGGCCCTGTCCAACCCCTACTTTGCAAATAAAAGACACACTGAGTTTCTTGCACATGTTTAAGCAGGGAAAGGTCCAAGTTTGATTTCATGCATGTTTTACACCGGAGAAGTTCCCTGGCTTTCGATGGAGCTATTTATGGTTTAAGGCAGTGCATGAAGAATCACTAGGAAACTTTTCTCTGTCACCTCAGATACAGTTCCGCCTTTGTTGGCCATCTTCTCCTGCTCACTGGGATAGCAGCTGTGCTGCTTCTTCCTCTCTCTTTTTGAAAGGGAGAATCCAAAATATTTAAACATGTGTTTTCAGGGAAAAGTAGATCTGGATTTAACACCTATGCAAGATTGTACAGTCCCTGTTGGATTTCCTTGCTCTTTGTAAAGCAGTTCAACCAACAGCCAGCCCGTTGAGCATGGCAGGGTGTGGGATAAAAGATCAGTTCATCCAGCACTGAGTCTAGTAGGCCAGGAAGCATAGAAAAGCTGCTATGTAGTGATACATCTGATTGGATTTGTATCAAAAACACAGCTCAGTCAAGAACAAATAGAATATCATTTTTAGAGGGGTTTGTTAGAAACTGGGATTTCTGAGGTCTGTACAGATCATTCTGCAGTGACTGGAGTGAACTGACTTGCCCGTGCTTTACCAATTTCCCCTTCTATAGAGGTAAAACAGTATCTGCTAACAGGTGTGGGAAGGAAAGCTCTCTGAAAGTGAACTGCATTATTGAAATATGTGCATCTCCTATGTCAAGCTCAAAAACATCACCTGGAACCAAACCTTTCCATTTCTCATCTAAATTTCAGTTTATTTCCATGGAAAATTTTTAACTTAAAATAATTTTCCCTGATAATTTTCCCTGATTAACTAAGGTACATACAATTGTAAAGTCAGACTGAATATACCCTCAGTCCAGTGGATGTTTTGACTGAGAAAAGACTGTAAGATTTCTTTTGGAAGAAATGTAATCATTTACTCCTCAGCAATATTTTCTCTCCCTTTTCTGATGGGACAGTTGGAATTAACGATCTCCAGAAGGATGCATTTCACATCATGGTGACAACAACTGCAACCTCTGAAAAACAGCCAGGGTTACTCTCGGTCAGCAAGCTGGGCCTGAAGTGGGCCATGATGAGTCAAGGTCGAACGGTGTGGCTAAAGGACACCACCACTCCCAAAATCAGCCGTGGAGAAGTGAGGCGATTTCTTGCCCGGCTGAAATTTGTTGACTTTCCTCAGAAGGTGAGATTGTGCAAGAATCCCTAATGAAATCCAGGCCTTTGAAAACATCTGATCTCTTCCCTACAGACACAGTTAGGTGCTCTTTGGGATGCAAAGAGACTGGTGGGTTTCAAAGAGACTGTTTGCAAGATGACTGGCTGCCCCTTTGGGCATAAGCTGGACAGATTGTGAGGCCCAGCTGTACTTTGGCAGTTGGACGAGGAGGGGGATCTTAGAAAGAACCGGGGATGATGATCATAAGGGACTGACAGACTCAGAGAGAACAGAGAGGTGAGACAGAGATCACTTGTTTTGACACGGGCAAACAAGGGTCCACCACATAGTGGTGCCCAAGTTCAGTTGCTGACCTGTGAATTACCATTTTTCTCTACCAGACCGGATGATAATAGGTTTTGGCTTTAGTTTTTGTTTGTCTTTCCTTCTCCAGCTCTAGCCTGGTGGTTCCTCAGATTTTGGTTGGACCTGTGGCCTGTATGGAGAATATGGGAAGCTGCTCTGTGGATATTCAGGAAAACTGCTGTGTAAAGGGAATGGGGGCTAAAAGCACTTCCCCTTTCTTCAGCTCTCTGGGGAATGCTGCTGGAGGCAGGTTTGTCCTAGGCAGGCCTGTCCTGTACCAGAGGAACCTTGTTCAGCATCTCTCCCTCCATGTGCCGTTCTTGCATGCTTCCTTCCAGGTAACACGGAAATGTGAATTTAGAATTTATATATGTACATATATATATATATATATGTATCAATTTTTACTATATATATATATATTTTTTGTATGTTTAATTTATGAATGAGATTTAGGACACTCCTTTTTATGTCCAAACAGTATTCCCAGGCAGTCAAATAAGCTCTAGGCCTAGAGCAGGCCATGAGGACTCAAGGCAAATGGTTTGGCTAAAGGACAGCACCTGCTTTAATCTTTTTATTTTTGGAGAGAAGCCTCTGTCTGGCTCCTGCAGGGCTAGTCTTGTGCACAACCTTTCCTGTGCTCTCAGCCCTCTTCTCCATTCTGTCACCAAACTCACAAACAAACTAGCTCTCTGGCTGAATTACCTGATCTAGAGAAAGATGGTCCCCACAGCATTTGCCAGTTCTTGCACTTTTATATATTTCTTTTCCTGATCCCAAGTTCAAGACAGGTTCATGTGGGTGATGTAGAAGCGAAAGGTTCATGTCTTATTTCCTTCTCCTTTCTATCCATCCCTAAGATTTTATGAACCCAAAGTGTCCCTGTAACATCACACTGCAGTCCACTGGGCTGAGTCCCCCTTTGCAATGCGCCACAGCCCTTTTGGGATAGATTCCCAGCAGATCCCCACTGGCACTGTAAAGATCATAATAGATCCAGTGACAGCAAAGCTGATTCTCACACCACTGCTTCAGGGTTTAGAGGCTCAGACAGAGGCAGAACTGGAAAGCTTTTCTGTGCATTTCAACCCTATTCTGAGCTAAACTTTACCATTCCCTTGCCAGCCCAGCCCTGTGTGGAGCCCCAGTGCACATTTGCTCTCAGTATGTTTAGTGCTTTGAACTGTGCCTCTGAGTGTGCCATCAGTCTCCTGTGTTGTAGTTGCAGAGCGTCTACATGAACTTTTTGTAATAGAAGTGACCGTATATAAACCAACCACTTTGGTGCCGCGGCAGCTCCCCACAGTGTAGGGCAACAACATAGGAACTGTTTTCCCTGTATGCCTTTCTAGGTCAGACCTTTGACATTAGGCAAAGCCAGGCTAAGATGAGGATTGCAAAGGGCTCTTCTGTCCTCCTGGGACGTGCCCTTCCAGCCTCCCTGCACTTGCGTGTGAGTGGTGAGGTGATGGCAGGACTTTGACCCTCCCTCCAGATGGGCACATCTACCATGGGTTTGCTCTCCGGGGCTCTTGACACCTCTCCTTGCTATATCACCCTCTCTCTTCTCCTTCCCTGCATCTCCATGTAAAGCTTCCAGGATAGCCCTTCAGGATTAGCTGCAAGCCCCAAGGCTGGTCCTTGGGCCCTGCTCTCTTAATGTCAGAGCCTGTGAACAGTTTGTATATGTTTAATGGTATTTTTGTGTAAATAGCTTTGTATATATTAGCACAACTGTAGCAATGACTTTCGGCCTGGCATTTTCTTCCAGACAGGGATTAGTGTTTATAATATATAGTCAGTTAATACAGCTGCATAATAGGGACTGAAAGTGTAAGGACCAGTAACATACGAGGATTAAACAGGAGTGCCCCTTCCCTCCTGTCTAGCCACTACCTTGCTGGGAAAGGTGAAGCAGCTGTTACCTGAAGTAGCTATTCTCCTGAGATTCTTCCTGAGACAACTGATATTCAAGTGCAGTGACATTAGCTCCTCCATAATGTGAATTCACCCTGCCCACACCCCCCCCCCCCCCTTGGAATTAATGCTCATCACGCTTATTGTGGGTGAAATATTTTTTT